AAAAAAAACCTAGCATTACTGGGTAAATGAATAATTTATTTTATAAGGATCAGCACAAAGCTAGTTCCTATGAGGCGTAGGTTAAAGATGTCCCAAAGGTCCAACTTTTCCAAACCGTTGTATCACTCCATCATCTCTAACATCAACTATTCTCCCCTCCCCTCAGTACTTTCCCTCCCATCTTTGGGTTCAGTAATTCCCTGCAATGTCTCACAGAACTCACGAACTGTACTTACAGTTAAGTGGTTTATTAGGGAAGTAACAGGTTACAACTCAGGATCAGGATCAAGTTGGAAGTAACAAGAACAACTCAGGGTGCAGTTCCTTGATCAGGACAGTTTCTTCTCATTCTCTGCCGCCAGCGCCTGCTGGGGGCCTTCTCAAGCGAATGTTACAACTCTAGCTCTGTCTTGCAGCTGTCTTGAGCCAGTCTCCTGGTTCCTGCACTCTCATGGCCCTATTGCTCTAGCTGCTGCTGCGCCGTCTTTTGTTTTCTTCTGTGTTACAGCTCAGCTCCACTCCTTTCTCTCCCTCTGTCTCCCTTTAAGTCTAGCGGGATGGCAAAACTAACCAATCCCCTCATTAGGGTTCCATACAACTTATCTGTATGGTCCCACACCCACAAGCGTGCTGTGCACCTTATTTACATTATTAGTAAGCCATCCAATCTCCTGAGTGGGCCATAAGCACCTCATTTGCATAACCCCACCCAGTCATTTGGTGGAAGTTACAAAGACTTCGGCTAGAAGGGCCATATTAACTAATTCACTGCACCACACTGGGTTTGCTATCTCGCTCATCCTTCTGGGTTATCTAAGACTTTCATTGTTTTTGAGCTATTTTCCAACTCTGTAGTCTTAGAAAACTGATAGTAATGCAAAAGACTTTTATCCATAAAAATGCAAATAAATGCTATCTGGTGGAGATGCAATTGATTATTGCCCTGTGGATATTGACCAGTTTTGCATCTATTAACAAATTCAGATGACTGCTGTTCTAGCCAACATCTTGGTTGCAATCTCATGAGAATTCTGGAGATAGAACCTCTCAGCCAAACTGCTCCTGAATTCTTCACCCACAGAAACTGTGTGAGATGATAACTGTTTATTGTTGTTTTAAACCACCAAGTTTTGGGCTAATTTATAAGGAGCTATGGTCAGCTAATACAGAGGGTCATTCTCCAGGACAGACCCTGAGTGCCAGAAGCGGACCTACTGTGCCTGAAGGTCTGACAGCAGTGTCCACATCTGTAGAGCCACTCCCTGGTATCCACCTGCTGGTGCTTGATGAAGGACAGGCTGTCTGCCAGCACCTATCTGTACAGTCACTGCACACATAAGGGTTGCTGGCACTGGATTGAACACCCAGTAGAAGTAGGGTTGCCAGATAAAAGACAAGTCAGCATCTTGGTGAATCCTCCAGCTCCAGTCGTGGCTTCAGATGATTGCTGTCCTGGCTGACAGCTTGACCACAACCCAATGAATGACCCTGAACTAGAACAACCCAGATCAGCTGCTCCCAAATTCCTGACCCACATAAGCTTTGAGGATATTAAGTGTTTTTTGTTACTTTAAGCCACTATGTTTTAGAAATGTCTGCAACTGGACCAAACACTCATGTAAGTGAATAAATGATCCTCATGACAGATAGGGATGCCATAGCCCAGTGGTGCCAAGATCTGTTTCCATATTCATTTGTTCAGTTGTCCAACATTTACTGAGTACCTGGTATGGGTCCAGAGCTGCCCTGAATGCTAGGGACACAGCCGTGAGCAACACAGACTTTGCCCCATGCTTGAGGATATTGCCGGTAAGGGAGAGACCACGAATAAACATATCATCATGTCAGGTGATGGTGAGTGCTAGTAACAAAAAAACAAAGCCACATACAGGCTGTAGGAGGGTTAGGGTAGTCACCAAAACCTCTCAGAGGAGGAGTCATTTGGGCAGGGATACCTGAAGGAAGTGAGCAAGCAAAGCAGGTGCCAGATGGAACAACATGTGTGAATGTGCCTGGTGTACCTGAGTGTACTATTCTAACTCCATTTTTTTAATTGTACTTTAGATGAAGGTTTACAGACAGAATAGTTTCTCATTAAACAGTTAGTACACATACTGTTTTATGACAATTGTTAACCCCACGACATGTCAACACTGTCCCTTCTCAACCTTGGGTTCCCTATTACCAGGTTTCCTGTCCCCTCCTGCCTTCTAGTCCTTGTCCCTGGACTGCTGTGCCCCATTGGTCTCATTTTGTTTTATGGGGCTATCTAATCTTTGGCTGAAAGTGTGTCCGGGGGCCATACTCCTGGGGTTTCTCCAGTCTCTGTCAGGCCAGTAAGTCTGGTCTTTTTTTGTGAGTGTTAGAATTTTGTTCTACATTTTTTCCAGCTGTGTCGGGGACCCTCTGTTGTGATCCCTGTCAGAGCAGTCAGTGGTAGTAGACAGGCACCATCTAGGTGTACTGGACTCAGTCTGGTGGAGGCCATGGTAGTTGTGGTCCATTAGTCCTTTGGACGAATCTTTCCCTTGTATCTTGTTTTCTTCATTCTCCCTTACTCCCGAAGACTAACTCCATTTTTTGATGTTTGACTGCTGACATTTTTTAAGCTTAACTCCTCCCTTTTTGCCCCACATCTGGGCAAGCTGGTAAGAAAGCACGAGTGCTCCCTTCTTTAGCACAAGAGGGAGTTTCAAACCACACAGGGACTCTCACTCTGGCCCCAGCCCCAACCACCACAAAAACCCCAAGCCAGTCTCCTTTACTTGCTCTCTCAAGCCATTTTTGGACCAGCTTGGGAGAGCTGCCCTGCCTTCCCAAGGAAGCCTCATTGTGTAAATAATAAACCTTTGTATACTCTCTTAGTATACATGTGTTGTCATCAGTCTTGACATCCGAATCAAATTCAGGGTGGTGGTCCATCCTGACTATGTAATGGCTACAAAACTGAAGAACAGCAGGGAGGATGGGGATGGGGAAAGCATGAGGGTGGGAGATGAGGTCAGGGAGGTGATGGGGCCCAGTCATGCAGGGACTTGAAGGGCACTGCGAGGACTTGATACTCTGTGTGAAAGGAAAGGAGAGGGACATGAACTGATCAGGGCTTTACAAACGCAGCCCCTGACCCCACCGCCTGCTGTGTGGGGAGTAGACTGGGGGTGCGGGGCCAGGGCACAGGTCACTGCAATGGTCCAGGTGAGTGATGATGGTAGATGGACCGGGGTGAGGGTGGAGGGACGTTCCCTGGTGTGAACTTGGCCAGGTCAGATGAAGCAGACACCTGCCACATTTGCAACGTAGGATGACGCTCATCTCCACAGCACCTTGAGGATCACAGAGCACCGGAGATGTAAAACCTAGGGCCAGGTCAGGTACACAGTAGCCATTTAACAAAGGGATGCATGGTCTCCTGCTAGCTGTCTCCAGGAATGCTCACCCCCCAGTCACCTTACACCACAGGACCCGGGCATCTTTTCCTCCGAAGGAGTCAGGAGCTACAGTACAGGAGTCCATAAAGTGAAGGGAACTTCACTGGGGCCCTCCCCCAGGCTCCAAACCCAGCTGGGAACGTTTTGCTGATTAAACCTGCACACATTCACTTCTTCAAAATACACAGGCCTCTGAGTTTTTCTTCCTTCCACTCATCATACTGCCACTTGGTGTCGGTTGGTGAGGGGGCACTATGCCAGCATGATTGAGGCTCAGAGGGTTGAGGCAGCATTGGGAAGGGTGGAGGCAGGATCCTGGAGCCCCGGGAGGCAGACTGGCAGGGCAGTGCTGCAGGGTCTTAAGCCACACCCTGGGAACTCTGCTGGAGGCCTTGAGGGCCTAGGACCTGGGTTTCCTGTGACGCTCTGGCTGAGCCTCTCTGAGTGTCTGTAATATGGGGTGAGAGTCATCCCAGCCTACCCAGTTAGAGTGAGGATCAAAGGGGACCATTCAGAGCAGAGTACTTAGCACAGCTCTGGTCTGTAGTAAGTGCTGCAAACTTGGTTTCTGGGGTGGGGAGTGTGGGAGTGTTTCTTTGGTGGTGGGCGTGGGGGATGGAGTGGTGAGGGATTGAAATTAGAATATTAATACTATCTCATTGCCATAGAGTTGATTCCAACTCAGTCTGGCTGGGGCTATTAACCTAAAGGTTGGTGGTTTGAACCCACCCAGACACTCATCGGAAGAAATGCCTGGTGAACTACTTCTGTAAAGATTACAGTCAAGAAAATCCTTTGGGGAGGCTCTACTCTGTAACACAGGGGATGGCCATGATTAATACTGTAGATATATAAAAATCTACAACATGCCACTCTAGGCATCTGGCAGCACCTCTGTGGTGGCCTCTTGGTTTCTCGCTGTTTCCTCACAGACCACAGAGGCTTCTGGGATGTGTGACTTGGCTCGGAATTCCAAAGGCCAGGATCCAAAGTAACTTGCAGCTGCCTTCACCCACCAATACAGACAGGCTCGGGTTGCCTGGGAATCCCACTCGCCTCGAAGCGGAGCCCTCTCCATGGTTAGATCCCAGGCTTACCACCATTAGCCCTGGGAAGAGTCACAAGGTGTGCCGGGCCCCTCCCTCCACGTCTGGGGAAGCCAGAGGAGGCCTCTCAGAGACCCAAGGGAGGAGCCAGGGGCCTGGCTACAAGAGAGGGTGTGAGAGGACTCTGAGGCCACCGAGGGCTACTGAAGCCACCTAAGGAGACCGTGAGAGATCCTGGGTTGAAACTGTGCTTCTATTATCTGATCATGGCCCTGTGGAGTCACTTCACCTCTCTCCCCCGTGGACCAGCAGGCACAGGAATGCCCACTGAGAAGAAAACTCTTGAGATGTGAACAGAGCGCTGGTGTTACCAGACCTCCAGGTCTTGCTTGCTGAGACACTGAAAGACAAGTCAGGTGAAAGCAAAAGAAGAAAATTTTATTTGGTTGGCCAAGCAAAGGAGCACACCGGGAGCTGAATCACCAAGGTGGCTCCCTGACTGGCAGGCACAGGGGTTTATATGGGGAGGAAACAGAGTAGGGGTGGGCTCTTCTTCAGAGTGTGTTCAGGAGCGTGGTCCATCAGGATTGGTGGACAGCTCCCGTGATGATGCCAGCGTCATTGGGTCAGCACAGTCACGCTGGGGCCGCGACGGAGGGAAAACGGCAGCTTAGCTCTCCCAGCTGCCATCTGGTGGCTGCCCATCTCACTCCCTCCTTTTCTTTTCAGGATTTGGATCCTGTATAAGGTCCAAATCCTGGGCCAGATGGGGACATGGGCCAGAGGTCATTCTTCTGTAACTACTTCATGTTGGCTAGGGGTGCTGGCATAGAACTGGACTCTGGCTGTAACCGGTTCGGGGGAGATGGGGCAATATCCCTGTTGTAACATCATCTGCAGATGGAACTTCTGGAGCCTGGAAGACACAAACTTTACTAAAATGTTAAACACACAAGGCCCGAATATAAGCAGCAGGGCCACCGTGACAAAGGGTCTGTTTTGCAGGGTTTGTTGGTCGATATAGGGAGTGGGAGCCGGTCTGATGCGATAGTGGTAGATCCACCCTCCCTTTCCGGCGAGCTTGACTGCAGTAGGGGTTGACGTCAACACCTCAAAAGGTCCTCTCCATCTTTCTGCCAGATCTGCAGCATTCCAGGTGTTGACATATGTCTAGCTATCAGGCTTCGAAATGTGGAGAGGGACTTCGGGTTGTGGAAGAATCTACCACGTCATGTACCTGTGAAGAGAGTCAAGCATCCCCGCCACAGAATACAAATATTCTTTAATAATGAGCTGGCCTTGCTCATGCATGTTTTCACCCTCCAGAATGTTTCCAGGATTCAAAGTACTTAAGCCCTCCCAAAAGTTACAGGGGAGGGGATGCCCATACATAAGCTCAAAAAGCTTACCTTAAGTTTGGCTCAAGGTGCAGCTCTAATCCTGAACAGAGCCAAGGGAAGGGCCTTAACACAAGTAAATTTGGTCTCCTGGCAAAGTTTGAACAAAAGAGTTTTAATAGTCTGGTTCATTCTATTTTTCACAGGATTGGGTTCTTCACGCACTGTGAAGACACCACTTAATCCCCAGCTGTCGGGCTACAAGTTGCGTGACCTGAGCAGTAAAATGTGTTCTGTTGTCACTCCCAATGGTTTGGCAAAGGTCAAACCTGGGGATGATGTCTTCCAGCAGTCTTTTGGCAACTTCTGTGGCCTTTTCAGTCCTGCAGGGGAATGCTTCAACCGAATTGGAAAAGGTGTCTATAAACACTAGCAGATACTTGTAATTACCTGGATCCCGGGGCATCTTAGTGAAGTCTATCTGCCAATCTTCTCCTGGAACATATCCTTGGTACTGGGTCCCCACTGGTGCGGCTGAGAAGTTCTTGGGGTTGTTTTTCTGACAGGTGACACATTGTCTATTAATGTCTCTGATAATAGCCTGCAAATTCTGGCCAACAAAGTGTCTCTTTACCCAATCATACATTGCTTCCCGCCTGTAATGGGTAGTCACATGTAGGTGCTTTAGGATGCCGGGAATCCCACGTTGTGGAATGAATAGCCTCCCATCCTTTGTGCAGAAACACTTATCCTTTTTCTGAAGCTGCCACTGATTGGCCACATAAAGGTCTTTTTCACTGTAACCAGGGTTTTCCGTGGCTTGTGGCAAGCTAGGGTGTGGGAAGAGGGCAGCAGCTACTACTGAGGTTATTGTTTTTCTACCTGCTTGGCCTCTAAGTCAGCCTTTCGGTTGCCCTGGGCCACTGCTGTCTCTCCCTGCTGATGTCTCTTGCAGTGTACCACAGCCAGAGCAGCAGGGAGTAACACCGCCTCAAGGAGCTGTAAAATCCGTTGGCCGTATTTGATTTCTTTATTGGCTGAATTCAAAAGCCCCTTCTGCTTCCACAAAGCCCCGTGTGCATGTAGAACTGAAAATACGTACTTTGAGTCCGTGTAAATGGTCACTCACTTGGACTTGGCCAGGCGCAAAGCCTGGATCATCGCAACCAGCTCAGCCCTTTGGGCCAAGGTTCTGTTGGGGAGAGTGTTCACTTCAAGGACCTCTGCGTGGCTGACAATTGTGAAGCCCACTCTCCATGGGCCACCCTCTACGAAGCTACTTCCATCTGTGAAGATCTCTAAGTCAGCGTCCACTAGAGGTTGATCTTGTAGTTATGGGCAGCTGGCATATTCCAGGTCCACCATCTGGACATAGTCACAGTGGATGGGGTCTCCCAGGGCAGAGTGGGGAGAAGGGTGGTCGGATTTAGAGCGACAGCAGATTGGGCCAACACATTGGGATTGTCAACCAGAGAGGCCTGGTATGGAGTTATTCAACTCTGGGATAGCCAATGACTCCCCCTTTGTTCCAGGATAGTGAGTGCTAAATGAGGGGCATGAATTTGAATAGTTTGGCCCAAGGTTATCTTTTCGGCTGTCTTCAGGACCTGTACAGTAGCTGTTACCACTTTAAGACACACTGGCCACCCACGGGTGATTGGTCCATAGTCTTGGAAAAGTAAGCTACCAGTTGCCTCCAGGAGCACAGATTTTGGGTGAGGACTCCCACAGCTATGCCCTGATGCTTGTGCACAAAAAGACCGAAAGGTTTATGCAAGTCTGGGAGTCCTAACACTGGGGCCTCTAGTAGGGCCTTTTTAACCCATGCGAATACTGTTCATTCTTGTTTGGTGCAAAGAAACAGGCCTGTCTCTTTTCCTTCTAGGAGGGCATCGAGCGGCTTGGCAAGTAGCCCGAAATTAGGGATACGTATCCTGTAGAAGCCTGCCATCCCCTGGAACCCTTGAAGCTGTTTCTGCTTCTCTGGGGGTGTTAGTCTACATATAGCTTCTTTCCTGTTTGGATACAGCTCCCGCTTTCCCCCACTGATGATAAACCCCAAATAAGTGACCTTCTGCTAGACCATTTGGGCATTTTCTTTTGACAACCTATACCTGGCCTCTGCCAAAAAGTTTAACACAGTCACAGTGTTCTCTGCACAGCTGAACTCGTCAGAGCTGGCAATCAATAAGTCATCCACATACTGCAACAAGGGTGCCATCTGTCAGTGTCAGCCGTTGGAGCTCTCGGGCCAGGGTGGTTCCAAACAGAGTCGGACTGTTTTTAAAGCCCTGAGGCAGAACCTGCCAGCAATATTGTTGTTTCGGTCTAGTGCATGGGTCTTCCCATTCAAAGGCAAAAATCTCTTGGCTACTGGAATCCAAGGGCACACAGAAGAAAACCAAAAACAACCAACCCTGTTGCCGTCGAGTCAATTCAGACTCATAGCAACCATACAGAAGAAAGCATCCTTTAAATCTAAGACTGAGAAAAATTTCCAAGCAGGTAATAGTGTCGAAAGCAAGGTATAAGGATTAGCCACGGTGGGGTGTACTGTTACCGTTACCTGGTTAATGGTGCACAGATCTTGGATGAATCAATAGGAGCCATCTTTCTTCTTCACAGGCAGGATGGCAGTGTTAAAGGCAGATATGCAGGGCCTTAGCAGTCCAAATTCTAAATATCTCTGTATTAAAGTCCATACCACCAACCAAGCCTCTTGTCCTATTGGGTATTGTTTTAACCTAGATGAGGTTACTCTTGACAGTAGCTCAACCTTTACTGGAACTGCACTGTGTGCCCTGCCTGGTCTTTGAGTGGCCCACACTACCGGGTTAATCTTTGCCATCATGGCTTGACAAGGAAAACAGATTGTTTCTTGTTCCTGATTTTGCGGAGCAGAACACAACAGCAAGTGTGATTTCCACCCGTTCTACTGGAACTTGAACATGCATCTGTGTGTATTTCGGCCTGCAATTTATTTAATAAATCTCAGCATAACAATGGGACAGGGCAATCAGGCATATACAGGAAAGAGTGATTCAGAGTTCTCACTTTGCCGAGGAGGGAGCAGGTAAGAAGCTGAAGAAATGGGTGGGTGTCCTCCTTACCTGCTACCCCAACTACTGGGATCTTATGTCTGGACAGAGGTCCAACTGGTATGGAGAAGACCAAGTGTGTAGCTCCAGTATCAACTAAAGATTGAGTAGGTTTTCCCTCTACATTCATTATAACCAGAGGTTCAGGCCAAGGTCCTGCCCCCAGTCCGCCCTAGTCAGAATCTTCCTCCAGAGTGAGGGCTGGCATTTGAGTTACTCATTGCCTGCTCTTTTTCTTGGGACCCTCTTTTTTCCAGTGGCCCTCTTCCTTACAATATGCACACTGGTTCCTTCACAGTGGGGGCTGGAGTCAGGCCCTGCTAGGGTGGCCCGCAGGTCTTCTCCTTTCAGGGGGCCTAGCCTGTACTGCTGCTGCTAATTGGGCAATCTGGCACTTTCTGTCTGTCTTCCCTGTTGTTATAGGCCTTGAATGCCATCTTGACCAGGTATTCGACACTCATAGTTACTGCCCCATCTATCGTATGAAGTTTTTTCCCAATGTTCAGGACATATTGTCCTATAAAAATACTATTGACCATCTGAGCATTTGCTGGGTCCTCCAGATCCTGATCAGTATATTGTCTAAAGGCTCTACAGATCCTTTCGAGGAAAGTTGAAGGATTCTCATCTTTATGCTGTTTAATCTCATACACCTTATTCCAGTTTAAGAGCTTAGGTACTCCATTTTTAAGACCCACTAAAAGACAGTCTCGATAATGGGTGAGCATACCATACTCTGCTGTGTGACTGTGAGCCCAGCAGGGGTCTCAAGGGGAAGATGTCATCAACTGTATCTCCAGTCAGCTGAGCATCATGTCGTGTCTGGGCTTCCTCTCAGGCCCTGTCTAGGACCATCTGCCTCTCCTCCAGGGAGAGGAGGGTGCTTAAGAGAGATTGACAGTCTGCCATGTGGGATCAAAAGAGTTAAAGATAGTAGTGAACAACTCATACATTTTTATCAGGTCCTCGCAATATCCTGAGGTGTAGTTCTTCCAGTTAATCAGGTCCACTATACTAAAGGCAACATGAACCTGAACCAGGCCCCTGTCTGCCACTGGGGTTTGGCAGAGGAGATACTGGTGGAGGCCAGCCCTTCCTGTTGGCTCTGTCCCAGCTCCGTGGCACCCTGGGCCATATTTGTCCGTCAACAGGGCATCCTCCCCTTGTATGTGGTGGAAACAAGGGAAGATCCCCAGGACATTTGGACAGCCCTGCTTTCCTGTTCAGTTCTCCACCCTCCAGGCTCCGGGAAAGAACAGTCGCTGAGAAGGCAGAGAGGAGCACACTCCCTGCCTCTTTCTGCCAGCCCGTTTTCCCCTCCCCTGGCTGCCCCTCCCCCGACTGGTGCAGGTCCAGGAGGAGAGCCAGGTGCACTTCTGGAGGATGCCACAGTAGCTGGGGCAGGAGCAGGAGAAGGGGGATAAGGTGGAGGAGGCCATGGCAGCCCCAGGGGGTCAAAAGGGTCATCTGCTACTAGCACTAGTGGTGGCACGGTGGGCTTTTTCTTTTCCTTTTCCTTTGTACACAGATTTTACAAGCCTTCTGAGTTTCCTCATTATTATACAATGACATGAAGGCTTCCACATAATGTTTTTCATCCTACTTACCATTTCTTGTATAAAATAAATCTAGCTGAAGGATGGTGTTTCGGTTCAGTGATCCATTCACGGACCATCTTTCTTGGTTCCCTAGAGAATACTGGGGCTAAGCATTATTACATAAGACAATTAATTTCTTCTTTTTCATAGGATCATAGCCAAATTTATCCCAATTCTTTAAAATACACCCTAAGGGTGAACACTCAGGAATGCTTTTAGTATTACCCATGTTCTTACTCCCACATACTTGCAGGAAGACAAACAAAGAACACACGTCCAGATGCACTCAGACAAAAGGACATCCCCTCAACCCAGAGGGGCACCCACCAGATGGCAGGGGTCTAGTCCTATCTACCACAGACCACCTTAGGGGCCTTCCAGGATTTGAATCCACCAGAAATAGCGCTTACCTGATTATTGCAGATTTCTTCCCTGGCTTTCCAGAGTCACCACTGGGTTTGGAGCGTGTCCCCCTCAGAGTCCGAAGAGGGGTCCAGACTGAACAAGCAGTTCCATATCTGGTTGCTGAGGTCCTCACTGGGTCGGGACCGGCACGCCCTGAACACCAAGCAGTAGGCTCCTGGCCGGTTCGCCAAAATATGTTACTGGACCTGCAGGTCTCGCTTGGCGCCACAATGAGACACAAGTCGGGTGAAAGCGAAAGAAGAAAACTGTTTGGTTGGCCAAGCAAAGGAGCACACCAGGACCTACATCGCCAAGACTGCTCCTCCGATCTGTAGGCACAAGGGTTTATTTGGGGAGGAAACAGAGTAGGGGTGGGCTCTTCTTCAGGACGTGTTCAGGAGGGTGGTCCATCAGGATTGGTGGACAGCTCCTGTGATGATGCTGACGTCATCGGGTGGGCACATTTGCACTAGGGCCACGACGGAGGGAAAATGTCAGCTTAGCTCCTCTCAGCCACCACCTGGCCGCTGCCCGTCGCACTGGGCTAAGTCAGCGCTCCATATACAATATTATCATTGCTTCATCTAGATCCCATGCTGAGCCTCCGGTGGAAAGGGGTCAAATACAGTTCTGGAGCAGGAGCCACAGGCAGGAAACCTGTGGATGCCATGTGTACAACATGAGGTTTAATAACGATTACAAACGTTTGTGGTTTGTGAGGTTTTCGGGAGGCTGGCCCCTCCTCACCCTGCAGGGCACAGCTGGACGCTCTATGCTGGCGCCGTAGCCTCCTGCCTGCACCCACCCACCCATCCTCCCAAGCGGGTCAGGGTGCAGCAGGGCCCGCGTGCCGCTTCTGGTGCTCGCTGAGGTTGGAGCGCTGGCTGAAGGCGCGGCCGCATACGCAGCACGCGTAGGGCCGCTCGCCCGTGTGCGTGCGCAGGTGACGCACCAGGCTGCAGTTGCGCACGAAGGCCTTGCCGCAGTCGCGGCAGATGTAGGGTTTCTCGCCCGAGTGCAAGCGCTCGTGCTGGCGCAGCTCAGAGCAGCCGCGAAAAGTTTTGCCGCAAGCGGGGCAGCCGTAGGGCCGCTCCCCGGTGTGCGCGCGTTGGTGCTGTACCAGGCCTGATCGGCCTTTGAAGGCCTTCTCGCACAGCGGGCACGCGTAGGGCTTGGCGCTGCTGTGCGTGCGCTGGTGGCGGCTCAGGTTCGAGCGCTGGTTGAAGGCCTTGCCGCACTCGGGGCATGCATAAGGCTTCTCGCCTGTGTGCACACGCCGGTGCTCCACAAAGTGCGAGAAGAGGCCAAAGGCCTTGGCGCACTCGGTGCACTTGTAGGGCTTCTCCTCAGTGGAGGTAGGCACCCGCTGGGTCCCTGGGCACCCCTCACCACAGTCCCCGCAGGTTGAGCACCCCAAGAGGAAGGCCCTCTGGGCCAGGACCAGGCCGCGACGCTGCCGCTCGGACGTGTGGGTCTTCTGGTGGCGGTAGAGGCCGGAGCAGCGCACGAAGGCCTTGCCGCACTCGGCGCACTCGTAGGGCCTCTCACCCGTATGGATGCGCTCGTGCTGCAGCAGGCTCGAGGTGCGAGTAAAGGCCTTGCCACACTCGTCGCACGTGTATAGCCGCTGGGCTGGGGGGTACCGGGCACCGGCGCGAGGATCTGCGGCCTGACAGCACTCGGGACCCATCAGAGGGCCCTCACCCGTGGCGCTACCCTGCTGCTGCTGCCTGGAGAGGCCGAGGTGCTTCCCGCACCCGCCACAGGGCTGGGGCTCCTCTGCCGCCTGCATCTGCTCCTGCGGGGCCAGAGGAGCCCTCCAGGCAAAGACGTCGCTGCACTCCCCTAACTCGCACGCCTGGGGCTGCTCCACGGAGGGGCTCCGCTGCGGGGGACTCGGCTGCATGGTCCAGGGGAAGGTCTGGGCACCCGGCCCTCGTTCGCCTGGCCGGTTGTCTGTGAGGACCCCACGCGGCTGACCCCCAGGACAGCTCCGAGGCAATGCCTGGCCGCCGCAGTGGTCACATGCAGGAGGCTGCTCCTCACGGAGCTCTCTGAGATGCCGCGTCGGATAGGAGTTTTGGCTGCAGGCACTTAGACCAGCCGGGCACCGAGAGGGGCTGTCCACCGTGTGCGGGCCCTCGGGGGTGACCCGGTCGGGGTCCTGAGAGGAGGCGGGGCCGCACGGGGTCCCACACAAGTCGTCCGGCTCCGGAGCTCTGACGGGTCGTGGGGCTAGGGCTCACGCTTAGACCGCAGCCCTGGGAACCCGCGCCAGGGGCACTCGTCCTGCCGCCGGCCGCCCCTCCACACAGGTTTCCCTCCTGCAAGGGGCGCTTCCCGGATTTGTCCTCCGTTAGGGCATTCGACTCCATCTCAGGCCTCTCCTAGGGGCCCATGGCGGTTCCCCAGGGATCAGCCTCAGGGACTCCTCCCTGCCCCATATCCCTGGCCCGAGTCTCCATTCTGGGGCTGGCCCCAATTCGAAGTCCTGGTTACTGGATCTGGAAGAGCAGAGAAATGTCGAGGTTGGCAATTCCCAGGAGGGAAAAAGGGAGAGTTGGGCCAAAAATGACCCCACGACTGACACTCACTAGACAGCCCCAAGCACTCCTTAGTCCAGGGAAAAGTGAGGACAGATGGCTGTAGGATGAGAACGCTGGAGCCAGCACCTTCCTGCCCGTCCTAACCCACTGCTCACACCCAGACCCCAGAGACCAGCCTCCTGATGATTCCCCTGCTCCCCAACATCACCTCCTTCTCTGCCAGCTACTGGAGCACCCTGGCCCTGGCAGTTCAGAGCAGTCATGTCTAAGGAGAGACTTGGCCATGTGTGACTGTAATGCACCAAGTGGGGAAGAGATTCAGCTGTGTGGCCGCCATGCAGGGAGGGATCAGGTGGAGAAGGCCCAACTAGCAAGTAGACTTGGTTACTTGTATGTCACTTCTTTCTCCAACAGTGAGAAACCTGTCTCCCATAAGCCTTGACATTCTCACTCGTTTGTTCAATTCCCCATAGGTAACCACCCAAAAAACCCATTGCCGTCGAGTAGATTCTGACTCATAGCGACCCTATAGGACAGATTAGAACTGTTCCATAGGGTTTCCAAGAAGCACCTGGTGGATATGAACCTTTTGGTTAGCAGCCAAACTCTTAAACCACTACACCACCAGGGTTTCCCATAAGTAACCAAGTTCCTCAAAAAGTTAAACACAGAAGTACCATATAAACAGCAATTCCACTCCTGGGTATATACTGAAGAGAAATGAAAATCTATGCTGACGCAAAAACTTGTACACCAATGTTCAACTGATGAATGGATAAACAAAATATGGTATATCCATATGAAAAAATATTATTCAGCATAAAGATGAATACTGATACTTATGGTAAGTGAAAGAAACCAATCACATATATTGTATGATTCTGTTTATATGAAATGTCAGAATAGACAAATCTGTAGAGACAGAATATAGATTAGTGGTTGCCAGGAGCTGGGGTGGGGGAGGGAGAATGGGGAGTGACAGCTAATTGCTACAGGGTTTCTTTCTGAGATGATGAAAATGTTCTGGAATTAAGAGAGTGGGGGTGGTTGCACAATTCTTTGAAGATACTAAAATCTAAAAAAAATTATTAAAAAAAAACTTAAAAACCACCCTGAATTGTACAGTTTAAAATGATTTTGTTTTGTAAATTATCTCAAGAAAAAAATCACCAAATGCACCCAACTCAGGAACTGTTCCTGTCTTCAGTGTGCCTGGGCCTCTGCCCAAGGGCAGCCTGAGAGAGCTCACCCAGCACCATCTAAGACATCATGTGGATCCTGGCCACAGTGATGGCACTGCTTGGGACACAGGTGTGTTTGTGTGTGTGTTTAAACAATACTTTTGTAATAAGAAAAACAAGGATCTTCAAAATATGTAGGTTTAAAAAGTTAACTTCTCGCCAACTGCACACCAGAACACCAAGCCAAGTTGCCCCATCAGAAGCTCTGGGGTGACAGCATTCTCCTACAGGTGTCCTTTAATCCACTCGTATCAACAGCATGTCTCCAGAAGAAAACTCTTTGTGCAAAGCTGGACACGCCCACTGGAAAGAACAGGCTCCGTGCAGAGAGGGCTGCCTGTGCGGTACTCTCAGGGCACAGAGCAGATTCCTTGTGGTGTCATAAACCTGACGGCACTGCTGTCACCTGGTTTGCAGACAGGAAGCAGCGGCTGGGTGAGGGTGAGACTCAGCAGGACCCATGAAGCCCTGTCCTCCACACCCAGGTTGCCTGCTGGCTTCCTACCACCACCATGTTGTTCAGCTTCTGCCTTTAACAGGTGTGGCTGTGCCCACTGGCAGGTGTTGGCCAGCCAGGGAGAGCCATGCAGGGCAGTCCCACCCCTCCGTATCTCATTCAGCCTCTCCTGCAGCCCTGAACCTCCACCCTCTGGGCACCGCAGGTTTTGCAGTTTCCTTGTCTGCCACTGGGAAGCCAGGCTTAACACCTGGCTACGCTAACCCTGCAGGGGGCAAACTGCAAAGCCTAAGAAAACCACCAGGACCCTCTACTAAGGGGATCAGTCCAGGGACACTGCCAACCTTGGATCCCAGGCCCCACCAGGCCAGGGAGGGGGTGTCCACCATAAACAATGATGTAGGGTCTGTTGCCCCCTTCCTCCCATGACTGTAACCCCAGGATGGATCCCAGCTCCCCACTCAGGGGAACGGCAGCCGCAGCACGAGTGCTGAGAGGGCAGGACAGGGCTGGGGCCCACATCTGTAGCACCACTGTTATATTGCAGCCCTGATCATCCCTGGTGACAGGCTGGTGCTTCCACAACCGTGCGTTCAGCCATAGAAAGAAGCCTGAACAGCCAGGGTCAGGGTCTCTGGAGGAATCAATGTCCGGCCTTGCCAGGTTGTCATGTCCTGGATGTGAGGGACAACTGGACCTGAGCCCCTGCCACACTCCTGCCCCAGGGTTTCCAGTAAATGCTGCACTGCCCTGGCAGGGTCACAGTTGCAGGCCTCATGCCCCAGTTTGCACAACAGCTGGTAGCCAAAGCAGGGGCCCAGGCTAGGTACCCAATATGATCTTCCAAACCTCCAGGGACCACAGGCTGAGGACCCTGCCAGGGTTGGAGAAGACACCTGGGGCTCCCTGGCTAATCATCTTCCAATCACAATAGCCCCACATAAGCCCAAGGACAGGTGGCCTAGAGCATATGGTCACCCATGACTGGGTAGGCTCCACTGAAGGAGGCCGCAGTGGGTTGAATGGTGACCCCCAAAAATGTATGTCCACATCCTAACCCCCAGACCCTGTAAATGTGAAAGGTCACATTTGGAAAAAGGGTCTTTGCAGATGTGATTAAGTTAAGGACCTCTAGAAGAGATCATCCTGGATTACCCTGGTAGGCCCTAAATCGAAAAGTGTCCTTGTAAGAGAAAGACAAAGGGACATTTAGGAAACAGAAAAGGCGGCTTTGTGAAGATGGAGACAAAGGTTTGAAGATGTTGGCTTTGAAGTTAGTAGTGATGTGGTAACAAGCCAAGGAAGGCAGACAACCACCAGAAGATGCAAGAAGCAAAGAATAGTTTCTCCCCTAAAGTCTCTGGAGAGAATGTGGCCCTGCTGACACCTTGATTTCAGACTTCTGGCCTCCAGAACTGAGAATAAATTTGTGCTGTTTTAAGTCACCAAGTTTGTGGTAATTAGTTACAGGAGTCACAAGAAACTAAGACACCTATCCTCTACCTGTGGCTTAGCCCAGCCTGCTGCCCCCTGTGCCTCGGTGTCCCTGTCCTCTAGGCCAGGAGACCTTCCTTAATCCGTGCCCTTTGCCCAGCGCTGCCCTCTGCCTAGCCCTGCTCCGACCGCATTCCCTGACTTCACTACCCCTCCCTGGCTTCAGTCACACCACCTGTGACGTAGTAAGTGCTCATTAAATATTTTGTTGTATAAATGAATAAATATCTTAATCTTTGAAAGGACTATCTAGAATTTTTTTTCTCCACTTCTGGTGCAGTCTAAACTCTCTCTGCAGAATTATTGCGTCTACTCCCCTAAACACGCAAAGGTGAGAGAACAAGTCAGTCTGTCTCTCCTTCCTTCCTTCCCTTCTCTCCTCACATCTCTACTTTCAAGCCTTCATTGCTCAATCAAGATCCTGAGGAAACCGCATGTAAACAATGATAATAAAATTACTTTTAAAATGAAAAACTCTCACAAGTAAATGTGCCAATGTGCCAAGTGACTTCCTACTTGTCAGAGCAGAAAAGTCTGCAGCTGATCCTAAAGCCACATCAGGTTGTTAAACCAGAAATTAAATTGTGTCAGGGGGTTACCCAGGCCTGCTTTATGCCATTTCGCACTGGAGTTTGACCATCCCCCGTGCACGTGGTTCTCAAAGCCCTCCACTCGGCCCGCGATGGCCCAAGGTGATAGCGTGGCATGGAGGGCCGACCCCGGCTCATCGTCACACAAGCCTCCTGCAGGTTCCTGGAAGTCTTTTCCTGACCCTGCATTGTGGCTGTTCCGAGTGGACACGCCCCGCTTCCTGGGTACTCGCCCGGCCTTCTAACCGTCCCCAGGAGTGCTGATGGAAAGGACTGGGACGCACGGCAGCCAGCCACCTTTAGGGACGCAGAGTGGACTGAGAGGTGGGTTAACGTGTTCACGGCTGACACCCGCAGAATTCCACGTCCCGGAGCTGGTGTCCTGGGCATCGGCAAGGGCCGCCACGACACGTCCCGGGCCTGGCGCCTCCCCTGCACGGGCCTCACTCTCCCCGTCCAGGAGGTGAGAATGCGGGAGCCGGAACTCACAGAAAACCGACGCGTCCGGAACTGAAAGCCCGTCGCACCGCAACCCGCCCGGAGTCCGAGAAGCGGACCGGAAATGTGGCAGCGTCGCACCGTAGCCCTGGGCCCGGCGCGCGGTGCGAGAGGAAGGGGACGGCATCACGCTAGGCACCCGGAGGCCCATGCCTAGCCGGCTGGAGTTGCACGTCCGTGCAGGATGCCACTTACTCGGTGGAGGCGGCCCGCACGGGTCCCCTGGTCCCCGCCCTGCACGCAGCGCGGAGCCTTTCGCCCCCTCCGGGCCGTCGCGGCACTGAGAAAACAAGACAGCCGCAAAGGCGGGCGGCTGCCCACGCGGGGACTGCTGGGAAGCGTAGTCCGGCTATGTCCGCTCCAACTATGAGGGAAAGACGTTAGGGAAGACCTCTTCACCAATCACAGGCCCCTTGGTTGTCATCGCAACTGTGACAGGCGCCACTAAATAGGCGGGGCTAGAGTTCCTGTCGTCGCCAAGGGGACGGCGTCCCCCGAACCTCCCGAATCCCGACCCTAACGAGGCGGGTGACTGGCTATAACAATAATTGATTGTCCAAGCGCCCAGTCAAATTTCTAGAATGTCTGGACCCGGAAAAGACCCGCCATTCCCAGCCTCCTTCAGGTAGAATAGAAGGCGGTGGGAAAACACTAACAGGGTTTTTAAACGTCCCTGTGGACGGGCTACCCGCCAGAACTGATGAAATCAGAACCTCTGGGGGTGGTTCAAGTTCCCTTAGTTGATTGTAATATGTGCAACCCCATTTGAGAAGCATGGCTGCCCTGGGCCCAAATGTGGTGCTGACCCTGTTTGCTCTCCTGAACAGGATGAGATGGTCGGGCCTCCTATCCATTTATGTCACCCCATTTTGTCCGGATCTGTTCTGTGGCTCCCACGCTTAAGAATATCCTGCCCTACACAGGGACATCCAATTTTGTGAAGTGGCCCATCATGTATATTGCATTCAGTGACCCAGCCTCTGACTGCCCCCACCTACCTTCTCACTGTCTGTCTCCCTCAGGGGTGCGGAACTATTCCACTCTCCTTGATCCTGTAAGGAGCCCTAGTGGCACAGTGGTTAAGAACTTGGCTGCTAACCGAAAGGTCATCGGTTGTAACCTACCCAGCTACTCTACAGGAGAAAGATGTGGCAGTCTGTTCCCATAAAGATTACAGCCTTGGAAACCCTATGAGGCAGTTCTGCTCTGCCCTATAGGGTCGCTGAGTCTGAATCAACTCGACAGCTATGGTTTTGTTGAGCCTGTGGGTGTACAACACCACACATCTTGCCTTCAGGTCTATCTCCCTTTCCAAGGACAAAGTCAGGCCTTGGTTTGTAGTTCTGCGTGCAGCTTACTGTACTCATTGAGGTTGGAGCAGTGGTTGAAGTGCTTCCCGCACACACTGGACTTGGAGAGCCACTCACCTGTGTGTGTCTGCTGCTGGCTCATGCGCTCTGAGTTGCGCAAAAGACCTTGCCGCAGTCACAACAGATGAAGCACTTCTCTCCAGAGAGTAACTGCTAGTGCTGCCACATCTTAGAGCTACCACTAAAGGCTATGCCACACTCAGAGCTGGCATGGGTGTATCAAGAATTGAGCAGGTTGGACTGTTGACTGAAGACTGCATCGACTCCCTGAACCTGTGCCGCTTCTCACTGACAGGAGCCCTCTGGTGCTCAATGTAGCCTTGCCACAACTGGGACACACATAGGGTTTCTCATGCCTGTGAGCACACTGCTACTGGAGAAGCTGCATGCTCTTTTGAAACATCTTCCTGCCCTCAGGGCACAAAAAGGGCCTCTCCCCAAAGTGAATATCTAGTGTTGCCACAGGCCACTCACTCCATGAGGCTGGAGCTCCACTTGAAGGCCTTGACACTTTCTGGCACCCATGCAGGGGCTTCTCTGGAGGAGAACTGACAGCAGGGTCTATGGAAGGTCTGCACGCCCACCCCTCTTTTGCACAGCCTGTCACCTACTGGATCCTCCAGGACTAACATTGGGTGAAGCACCAGAGAAGCGCCTCGCCACATTGGTCGAATGCAGGGGCTTCTTGAGGGAGATCCTGGTCCAGGTGGGACACTAGAAAGGCAGTAGGGGTCCCTGGGGAGTCATCTTGCCTCTGAAGCTTCCCTTCCACAACAGTCTCCTTCCTGAGATATCCCAGCTGTCTTTTGTAAGGGACCTTGGCTTTGTCTTGGGCCTCTCTTCAGAGCCTGGAGTGACTCCCCAGGGATCAGCCTTAAGGACTCCTCCTTGCCCAGTAGCCCAGGCCTGAGCCTCTATCCTGGGACCAGGCCTGACCAGAGTCCTGGTTGCTGGATCTTGAAGAACAAAGTAGAAAAGGAGAAGCCAGCAATTTCCAAGAGGAGAGCCATGAAAACAAACCCCAGCAGCTGAGGTGTCCTGGACAACTTGACCGACTTTCCAGAGACTCTTAAAAGCTGAAAAGGGATGAGAGAAACATACAAACAAATTTCAACAAGAGCTGAAGGCAGCCAGCAAAACGGATTAGATGACCAGTGGTTACAACATGGATGAGTCTCAAAAGCATTATGCTAAATGAAAGAAGTTAGACATAGAGGCCACATATTCTATGATTCCATTTATATGAAACGTCCAGAATAGGCAAATCCATAGAGACGGAAAGTAGATTATTGGTTGCCAGGAGACAGAGGGAGGGGGAAATGGGAGTGACTGTCAATAGTTACGGTGTTTCTTTTCGGGATGATGAAAATGTTCAGGAATTAGGTAGTGGTGATGGTTGCACAACTCTGAATATACTAAAAACCACTAAACTGTATGCTTCAAAAGAATTTTATGATATGTGAATTATATCAATCTTTTTAAGTGTTAAAATAGAGTGGTCAGTACAAGCCTCATGGAGAAGGTGGGATTCGAGGCAAGACCTAAGAAGGTGAGTCAGCCATAGGGCTCTCTGGGGAAGAGAGTGTCTGTCAAGGGAGCAGCAATTGCAAAGGCCCTGAGGCAGGATCAGGCCTGCTGTGCTTAAGAACCAGCCAGGAGGCCTATGTGGCTAGACTGGAACTGCGGGCGAAGAATAGGGTGAAGGATGACAGGAGTCAGACCTTCTGGGCCTTGAAGGCCACTGTTCAGATTTTGGCTTTTGAGTGTTACAGGGATTCAGGGATGGTTTTAAGCAGGGTAGGGACAAAATCTGACTTAGGTTTTTATAGATTCTCCCTGGCTGCCATGGAGAGGATGGACATTTTCCCCTTTTGGGGCTAGCCTGAATCTCTGAACTTCACAGGGATGAAAAGTATATTAAGTCCCATGGCTGTGTCCAACTCCCAGACTCACAGGATCCTCAAGTCTAACCCAGGTCAGACTCTTCCTGCCCTTCACAGCCAAGCATCCAGTCAGAACACCTCATGAGGTGGCCTTGCCCCCTCCCCCATCTCCACCCAGCCTGGGTCTGAGTGGCTGGTCACTTAGCCAGTCCTGTTGTCTGTATGCCACTCCTCCCACCCTTCCCTCCCCATCCAGCCTGAGGGATCTAAGACTCTACACTAAGGTTGTCAAACAGAGACATAGGATGCAAAACAGCCACCAAAACCAAACCCACTGCCGTCAAGTCGATTCCAACTTACAGTAACCCTATAGGACAGAGTAGAACTGCCTCATAGGTTCTCCAAGGAGCGGCTGGTGGACTCAAACTGCTGATCTTCTGGTTAGCAGCAGAGTTATTAACCACTATGCCACCAGGGCTCCTTGCAAAACAGCCACAGTAGAAAGTACTTCTGATATTCAACTCAACATGGCTGAGCGACCTAAGCGTTCTGAGGCTGTGGGCTCTCTTTATACAGTTGTGATCATACCTTTCTTGCATTTTCTCCAACGAGTAGGCATTACTTTTGGAAAAATAAAAAGGAGTATTTGCTTGTCACAACACTTTAACCACCCCTTTGTCATAACGCTTGGGCTGGGCTATCTATTGCTGAGTAAGAAACCACTCCAAGACCATTGTATTATACTCACGAGTCTGTGTGTGGGTCAGGATTCAGGCAAAGCTCCACATTATCTAGAGCCTCAGCTAGGGTGGCTCTAAAGGCTAGAGTTGGCTGGGGAGACACCCTGGGGCCTGGCATACAGCAAAATTCAGTAAATGTCAAGGGGATAAGCCATCTTACAGATTAACTGAGGCTCCAAGAGGTTTGGTGAGTTGCTCCACGTTCACAGCCAATGAGGGGTAGGTATGGGCACTCGTGTCCATGTGATTACAAAGTTTGTTGTGTGGCTGCTGTAAAATCTCAGTCCTCTCGTCTGGGTTCCACCGGTCCTGCCAAAAGTCTAGGAAGGTGGAGGCATCCCTTCCATTCTAAAGATAGACAGGGGCTCAGAGAGAGAAAGCCAACTAGATGAGGCCTTGAAGCTCACCTAGGCAAAATTCTTAGCATTCAGGTCTTCAGAAATCCCTAAACTTTGGCGCCCAGAGTCACAGCAAGGCTCCTTTAAATGCAAATCCGGGGCCACCCCCAAAGAGTCTGCCCCAGTGGGGCTCACAAACCCCCATAAGGCAGGTGCCTGTGCTATCCTCACTTTGCAGATGGGGAAACTAAGGCCCAGGCAGGAAAGCTACGCATCCCAGGCTGAACGCAGGCAGCCAGACTGCGAGCCACTGTCCAGGCTGGAAATGTTCCTTTGACCGACCGCTCGATTTCGTCCTAATCCACCACCTGTCCCGCGAGTCGCGGGAACACTGTGACAACCCCGCCCCCGCCATCACAGACCGACAAAAGAGGAGGCCTCCTGCGCTAGGCCTGGGGAAATGGGTGGTTACTCGAGAGCGCTCGCTGGCCCTTGTGGCGTCCTAAGACCGGAGGCCCAGAGTGGCAGGTGGTCCCCAGGCCAGCTGCACCTCCTCTAGTCTGCGGTCCATCCCTGAAGCGACTCCACTCTCCTGGACACCCCTGCTTCGGAACCAACAGCCTGACCCTGCCGCTACCCCA